CCCCCCATCCGCCAGCCCCCCTCACCTTGAGCCGGTCAAGGTTCTGCCCGTAGTCCTCGATGACCGTGGAGCCGTTGTGCATGACCCCGTTGCCGGTCATCATCCAGGTGCCTGAGCGTATGTTGGTCATGGTGGACGGGAAGTCCAGCTCGCCGGGCTGGTGGGTGGTCAGCCCGATCTCGACGGAGCCCGCCCACTTCTCCACCAGCCGGTCAAGCCGCACCTCGAAGACCTCGTTGGGCCGCAGGATGCGGTTGGTCAGGATCACACCGTTGTTGAAATCTTCTGTGGCACTGTGGAGATATGAGGGGGGAGGGGGGATTTTTTTCCACCTTTAAGTCTTAAAGAGAAATTGGTATAGTAGAACCTGCTCCAACAGCCACCTGTATAAGACAATCACCTGTACAACCGGCCACTTCCCCAACCTGTATAAGACAATCACCTGTACAACCGGCCACTTCCTACTTCCCCAACCTGTATAAGACAATCACCTGTACAAACGGCCACTTCCCCAACCTGTATAAGACAATCACCTGTACAAACGGCCACTTCCTACTTCCCCAACCTGTATAAGACAATCACCTGTACAACCGACCACTTCCTACACCTGCATAAGACAATCACCTGTACAACCGGCCACTTCCCCAACTTGTATAAGACAATCACCTGTACAAACGGCCACTTCCCACTTCCCCAACCCGTATAAGACAATCACCTGTACAACTGACCACTTCCCCAACCACTATAAGACAATCACCTGTACAACCGACCACTTCCCCAACCTGTATAAGACAATCACCTGCACAAACGGCCACTTCCTACTTCCCCAACCTGTATAAAACAATCACCTGTACAAACGACCACTTCCCCAACCTGTATAAGACAACCACCTGTACAAACGGCCACTTCCCACTTCCCCAACCTGTATAAGACAATCACCTGTACAAACGGCCACTTCCCACTTCCCCAACCTGTATTAGACAATCACCTGTACAAACGGCCACTTCCCACTTTCCCAACCTGTATAAGACAATCACCTGAACCAAAGAGTCTACATAACAAGAGGGGCCACTTCTCTCTTTGAGCCAATTAAAAAAGTGTCCTCAAAATTCGATGGCGCCCTCTTCGCAAATGCGCACCCTTTGTGAACAGTTACCCTACTTGAGTTTGAAAAATCAAAGTGAAACTAGCAAGTTTTTAAATAAATTTCAGCAGAACGTTTTTTTAAATGGCTACGCTGACAAAAAAATCTCTTCCGGAGGAAAGGGCGATTGTTTTCTTCGTTTAATTTGACTTTAAAATGAAAGGCGAGAGGTCATTAAAATTTAAAAAAACTAAAACTCCGCACTGAACGAACCCGAACCGCTGATGGAACAGCAGTCGATCTGCGCACGTAAGGAGGTGCCATTCCTATTCTTCTTCTTGAAAAACGAAAGAGAGCTTCAAAACAGACTGCAGCGCCATCTGAAGCAAAGAGCGAACTTCCTGCGGACACTTTTTTGGCTGAGTGGCCCATCTTGTTATGTACTATCTTTGCCTGTACAAACTTCCAACCCCCCTTCTGTGTTTTTTTTTTTTTTCAAATATTATAATGGTACTGTGTAAGACAGCCACTTGTCTAGGATGGGTCACTTGTCTCAACAGTGGGTGGCTGACTAACTTAAACAATTTTGACATTGTACTTCTTGAGAGCAAACAGAAGAGGATTTTTCAGTAGAAGTCTAAGAATCATTTTCTTTTAAATTTGATAATTGTTTTGGGTAAAAAACCTCCTTCAAACACTGTACAGTTCTCAAGTGATTCACATCGTGGGGGCAATTAGCATGGCCTTGTGGAGACAAGAGTAAACAGATGGGAAGGGGGGTATTTGTGTAAGGGCTTCACACCCACTTTCGACACTTTCTGGTTATTTAAGGCCACACACCCGTTTTTGGGGCCCGTTTGGGTCCAGACAATGTTTCAAGAGTTTTAAGATACAGTCGAACCTGTGTAAGACGGCCACCCATTGTCAAGGAGAAAAGTGGCCATATAAGGCAGGACTGATCAAGATGGAGAAAACAAACCATTCTTTTCTGAGGTCCCAACCGAAAGTAGTCGCATTTTTGTTGTTGTGGATATTGTTGTTGTTTTCGCTTGGGGGGGGTTGTTGCTGCTTTTGTGCAAGGGTGACAATAAAACGAAATGGACTGAGTGCTATGGTAAAACAAACACACGGGTCGCCACCACTCGGAGAACGAGCGACGCTTCTGTCACAAGTTCATGTTGACGTCCTTTGTTACTTTGTTACAGACTGGGTAAACAGTGACCACTCATCTCACTTATGATTTGTGTACGAGCTCTGGGCGGGACTTTTGGGTTATGAGGGATCCCATGCTGACCTCACCCACCAGCAGCTGGACATTTGTTACCCATTGGTCAACAGTGGGAGGGGCCTACGCAACATGATCAGTTGGAGGGACTATCTAAACAACAACGACAGGTGATTGGATTATGACGGCTCGCCCACAACGCCAGGGACCAATGCTTGATTTATGACAAAACGTAATGGAGTCACTAAGGTGGCCGTCTAAGACAGGTGTTATTGCTTAGTGTGATAGGGGTTGTGTGTTAAAATATGTTAAAATATGGCGGCCGTGGCTTTTTTTACACAGTTAAATTATATAGAAAAAACGCAA